AAACGCCACTTTCCAAACACATGTCTTCTTCACCAATTAAATTTTTTTATTAAGTTACTCGCTTGGTCCCCTATTTTTATCCCATTCATTTTTTCTTTTACTAATTTTGTCTTATACCATAATATTTGAAATCTAATCTAATTTCATTATGTTACTCGATTGCCTTTGATATCTAATTATATGAAACAAACTTTAATCAGTTCTTGACAAGTTTAATATTTTTTGAACAACCAATTTTAAATGAATTATTAATCTATAACCTGAAAGATAGGTTCATTATCGATTTGGAACCTGAAAGATAAAGTATATCGATATAGGGTTAAAAAGATTGAAAATTGTCAATGTAAGACCTAATATTTCATGAACTTTAATATTTTATTTGAAAAAATTAAATATTATTTAGTCTCATAAAATTAATAAACTTTTGTGAAGAAAAAATCATCAAGAATTAGCAATGGAATTAATAAAAAAATTAAATAGATCAAAATCTATGATGTTTTAAGTCTTAGATTGACAATTTTCAATGGTCCTATATTGACACATTTTATCTTTCAACTCCCTTATTGATAGTGAACATATTTTCAGGTCTTAAATTGGTAAAATTTCAGTTTTAATGATATTGAACTCAGTAAATATAAATTACAGAGTACTCCCTCGATCCCTTGAAACTTGGGTATCCTTCCTTTTAGAATGCCCCAAAAAACTTTGTTAGTTTTTCTTTTAATCAACTAATTTGTAGTTTCTATTACTTTTCTCTCCCCTTCACAAATCTAAACTATTTAGTTTTTACTTTATTATTATTCTATACGTCAAACAAACTCGACAGAGTTTGAGGAGAGTAGAGAGGCAATTAAATAAAGTGAGTTAAAATTAAATTCTAAGGATTCATGAATTTGTTTTACTATTGTAGTCAAAACAGCTTGTGACATTTGTTTGTGCTTGCAATGATATGAGTGCATAGTTATTAATTTCATGATACAGCAATAATGATGCAACTAATCATTGACGTTATGATTAGAATCCAAGAAAAGACGAGAAGAAGAAGATGAACCTTCCTTAGCCCGCCTTCCAACCTGTTGCTTCAAATCCGGGGATTCGGATTCTTCTGTTGTTTTATGTGCACATTACGCTAATCCTATAATACTCCTTGAATATGCCACTCACGAGTAAAATAACTGTGTACAATCGTAACCAATACGATATTGACTTAGATCTCAATATTTTTCTACAATTTGTTCTTGCAATTTTTCAATGTGATTTGTATCTTTATCATCTGAGTTAACAAGGTGTTCTGTTCGTCTTATTACTCACTCACTCCGGTTCCTAATGAAATTCACACTTTTACTTCACACAAATTAAGGAAATAAATTTGACTTTACTGTAAAGTACACTGTTGTGACATTGTTTGACATTGTTTGGCACTGTTTTGCACTGTTTTGATGTAGATAATTTGTCAAATAAAGAAGGGAGAAGAAGTGTGAAGTTTATTTTGGACCTACCCAAAAAGGAAAATGTGAATTTCATTTGGGACCGGAGGGGGTATTACTTATTCTCAGGGGCCGTTTTTAGGGGGTTCAATAGGTTATCGAGAACAGGACCCCCGAATTTATGGAGACCCAAATTTTTAAAAATTTATTAGTATTATATAGTAATATTATATATTAATAATTTAATACGTAGTACTAATCAGTAAAATACAGTTAGCTAGTAAAGAAGAAAATTATAGATCCATCATTTTTCCGTTGGTCCCTTTTAATCTGTTCGTTCTCTTTTAATGAGTATTTAATTGATTTGAAAATAAGTATTCGATTTATATAAATGTGGGGCTCCAATTTTTCATTTTGAACTTGGGCCTCCAAATTCATTAGACATCCCTGCTTATTCTTATTTTATTACTTATTTGTATCTTCGTCTTATTCTTATTACTTATTGTTTATTCTTATTTTATTCAGATCAGATCTTATCAAATCAGATCAGAAAAATTCAGATTAGATCAGAAAGATTCAGATCAGAAAGATTCACATCAGATCAGATCAGATGAGAAAAGTTCAGACATGATTTATCTCTTTTTATTATAATTATTATTATTATTATTATTATTATTATTTATTATTATTATTATTATTAATTATTATTATTATTATTACTATTATTGTTGTTGTTATTTTTATTATTAATATTAATATTAATATTATTCGGATTATTATTATTATTTTCATTATTATTATAATTATTATTATAATTATACTGAGTAATTATAATTTTAATTATAGAAATAAATATTATAATTACAATTATAATTATAATTTTAGAGATAATTATAATTACAAATATAATTAAAATTATAATTTAACTATTCAGTCTTTTTCGGAACCTGTACTATAATTTTTGTCCAAAGTTTATCATCATTGATCAAGAAAAGTCAATATGGGGAACCTTTTCGGAACGGAGATATTGTGTTAAGTCAAAGTAAGACACAAGGCTAACCGCAACTCGGTTCTGTCAATAAATTAAATCCCCCACTACTTTATACGTATTCTGTCAATTGAATTTTCAATGCAAGCCTGCACCGTCAATATATTCAGCCATTAAAGTTTTTCTTTAATTATTAAAGCCTTCCTTTTATATAATAAATTAATTTTTTGTTAATCATTTTTTGTGAATAATTATGATATTAAAAGACGAACATTCGATGTAAAAATAAATAAGTTTGGAGTTTAACTTTTTTATTGTTCATTTGAACCAATTTTTGAAAGAAAACTAAAAGATATTAAAAAAATATTTTTATCACGATACCATAATTTTAACACTTGGATCTGCTTAAAAGAAAAATAAGCATAAAATCTCCAACTAATGAAATTTTATACTTTCATTTTTTAGACTTTATATATATGATATTGGTGTCATATAAAAGGTCATAAAAATCTATGAAATTTGATATGCTTTTTATAAAATTTGATGTACAAATACATAGGTTATAAGACATTTAAGATATTTGGGGGTTTTAAACTTCCTAGTTGCAGTGGAATGCCATGCGGTACTACTTCTAGGGGTGGACTTGGGTCGGGTCTGGGCCCAAGAGGGCTTTTTTTTTGGGGAAAGTGTGAACCGGAACCAGCCCGGGGATAAACCGGGTCCGGATCGAGCCCAGTTCTATGTGTTTTTTTTTTTGCTTTCTAATTAACCCCCAACCCCTCCCCCCCTCCTCACCCTCCAAACCCCTCCAAAACACCCAGCCCTAACAAAAAAAAATAAAAAAATTGAAAAAAAAAAAGTATGGGTCGGTTCAAGAAAAAAGTGACCCGAACCTGGCCCGCCCAACCCACCCCAACCGAGTAAAAGCTCGGTTCCGTTTAGCATCAACCGGGCCGGTCCAGGCCCGCACAGTAGCGGGCCGGTCCAGGCCTGCACAGTAGCGGGCCGGGCCGAACCGGTTGGGTCCATCCCTAACTGCCGCAAGAACTTCCCTTTCCGTGAATAAGTTGCGGAATAGCCACTCCCTTGGTGCTATCCATCCAGTTTGGCACCAAGAAATACATTGGGTTGCAACATATATTGGGGTGAAATGATCAAAAATAGCTTTTCACCCTAAGGTTTGCGGGCAACCTAAAATGGAACGGAGGTAGTAATAATCTCATTTGAGTATTTTTTTTATTTGATTTAATTATTTCACACGTAAATATAAATCATATTCCTCCGTCCCATTGAACTTTGTCAACTTTCAATTTTTGTTTGTTCCAAAATACTTTGTCATTTTCCTTATAAAGCAAAGAATTTGTACCTCTGCACACTTATCTCTCCTCTGCACAAACTTCAACCACATAATTTTTACTTTTCTAATTTCACATCCAACATCAATTTGACAAAGTTGAGTGGGATAGAGTTAGTATTTAATTAATATTCAAACTAATTTTGAGATTTTTATTATGACTATTATAATATTATTGTTGTTGTTGCTTCTATTGTTGCTGTTGTTGTTAATGTTACTGATCTAATTTGAATATTCCTAGTTTGATTGTAATTTTTATGATATGATATATGAATCTTTCTGATATAACGTCATGTATATGAATTTTTCTTACACAGTATTTGTTTAGAAACAAATGCAAAACAAAAGATGATGATGCAAATCATCTCATTAAGTCAAAGTTGTGTGCAAAAAAACAAATGGACAATACAAATTTAAAAAACAAAAGTATCAAAAGCAAAACTAAAAACTTATTATGTCAATTGTTTTGTGTTTTGCCCACTGGTTAATTTATAAATCGACAATTAATTGTGTACAGATCATTTTATGCTTTGTGGCATATATGTTGTATAATACTATAATGAATAAAAAGCAATTAAAGTTATTTATATTGTGTTAATTTTGAGAATTATTTTTCGTAACTTTCACAGAATCACAGCCGAGAAAAACTATTAGATATGTATAAGTTTTACGTAGTACTCCGTATATTTTTATATCATGGACATATTTTTGGGAGCCTAAACTCTAAAGTGTCCACGTAAACATATCGTATGTGTGACTATTTAAAAACTGAGCATATGCTAAACATACTCATCAAGTGGATTCATATTTCAGATTTAAAGTCCATTTGGTAGTCCTATTTTCTCTTTATTCAGAGTATTATATTATTATTACACGGAGTACAATAGGTACATTATATAAGTACATTATATATTACTCTTTATATGATTCTTATTAGGGAAATTACCCAAAATAGGAGTAAATGAGGTTTTGAATTCCAAAATAGGACTACTATATTTTTCTTCCCGAAATAGGAGTTGTTACTGCCGTGTATGAAAAATACTGCCATAATTGAAAAATAATGTCATTAATTATAATTAATACTATCATGTTAAATGCACTGTACTGCAACTATTTGGCAGTCACGCCTACAAGATACAGTAAATACTGTCATGTTAATCCTATTTCGGGAATAAAAACATAGTAGTCCTATTTTGGAATTCCAAACTCCATTTACTCCATTGTCCAAATAGTCCACTAACTAGTAAGGAGCCAAATAAAACCAAGATAACACAACATAAACAGTCAGTAACTTTGTAATGTTAGAAAAGAATCAGCGAAGGTTAGTGCACAAAACAGCATAATATACAGAGCAACTTGGCACAAATGTATGTTCTAAGCTAATGCATAGAAAGCACAAATGTAAAATGAGATATACACCCTAGCCAGGATATTCACAATCAATCTATCATGGTTTAGTTCTAGTGGGAGGGGCTATGAACATTGGGAGGCTGTTTTTGCTTGTGAGATGATCAAAATGACTGGTTGAACACGACCCGGCGGTCCACGGCAGGATAAGATTGTGGCATCTCTTCCAGTGTTGTTTTCTTCTCATTTTTGATGGGATAACTCAATGACGCCTCACTCCTTTCCTTTGAATGTCTATAACAACGAGGCAGCCGACTCTAAAAAATTCAATGCACTTAGAGATCTTTTGAGATGATGATGATGGTGACAATAATAACAATAATAATAGTAATAATAATAATGAGCATATATCATCTAATAATGATGAGATGGAGCAACTACACATATGGATAATAAGTACATAGTTAGAAAAAATCTTAAGCATAAAATATGGGTAAAAAATTATTTTGTCCCTTAACAGTGAAGGAGGTTGGCAAAAAGCAGTCCTTTTGCCATTGGTAAAAAATTAGTTTTGACATTTTTCTTTTTAAACGATGATTTTATCCCAAAGCTATCAGAAATTGAAAATTTTGTAAGAAGTAACTGTTCAAATTAGACAGTGAGTGAATTGAAGATGATGGTACAATACGGAGTATTATTTAAAAAAATAGAATGCTGAAAAAAGCATTTATAATTGATAATTGAACATCTATTTTTTCATTTCTATTTCTTACAAATGCTTGTTGCCATTTTTAAAATTTACGAAAATTGACATCTCCCATTTGAATAGTCCTTGCTCACAAAATTATCATGGTTTTAGACTAAATATCGATGTGTCTGAATTACACAAACAAATTCCAACAAAGTTATCAACTTTTTGCCGAACCCTAGTTACGGGACCAAAATTGCATTTTAACGCCAAATGTCCAGCTAGATAAATGGTACTTCGTAATTATAGCGTAAGAGCAATTACCACGTTTGGCAAGTATGTTCCAGTTCCGTGTAGCTTCGGCATTTCTTCAAAGCCAAATGCAAAACTGGGTACTGAAAGGGAGGGCTGATGGTTCATCGTATAGGACACAGGAATTGGGATGAAGGCACCACCACAACTTCTCTGAGAAAAACAATTTCTTATCGACTGTGATGGCTGCTGAACCGAGTCTGATAAATACTTGACCTGAAACAGTGAGGGTGGTGCCAGAGGTAATCCAGGCTGCTCATAACACTGCTGACCATATTGCAAACAACTAACATGATTTTCATAGTCCCCACTAAGATCACACAAACCATTCAAAACCCCGTCTTTATCATCTGAATGGTCCTCCTTTTCTGAACCCTTCTTTCCTTCATGCTTATTGCATGCAGACATAGTAAAGAAGAGATGAGGGGCAAAAAATGGTTTACACAAACTACCCAATACGGTAGAACCATCATCACTATCATTACATAATGTCAGGCTTTGTTTGATTGAGCAAGCTGATTCTATTGAATCTCCAGAAAGACGATGAGCAAACCCATCAACCTTACAATCTTTTGCCGATGGACTAAGATCTTCGACATCATCAGACATTTTTGGTGAAGTTCCATGACAACTCAGAGTGTTTGAGAAAAAATTAGTTAGCTCACCAGCAATGTTATCTTCTGACTGAAGGACTCTCCCAAGCTTGCTAGCCCCATATGTGAAAGCACTGCGTATTCTATAGAAATTACCTGTGCGCAGTTTCCAAGAGAGGAATTTAGATGAGAGCTTAAAATTTTGACATTTGAAGCAAAAAAAGTATTCCAGAGCAGAACTTTCATATGGTTGTTTTTGAGTAAAGATTATGAGGGCGTGTAGATAAAAAGTGTTAGAATAAATGAAAGAAACTGATGGGTTAAAAAGACCTTGGATTGTACTGTCAATAGATTGGATTTAATCTTCTAACGTGGTTTGGCCGAAGCCAGGGTTAGTGGAGTGACCCTTACCCAAACCTAAATTCTATCATGGTATTATTACTCCCAATCATTTTGGAGAGTGACTTTTTTATGTTTTTCACTTTCTCCCAAACTAAGGCTGGATTCTTCTTGTTGAATGTTCTTCAGTTTTTATTTTTTAAACACAATTCTTCTACAGTACTAGCAGCTAGTGTTATACAGATAATAGCTACAATTCTACAAGCACTAATTCTTCTACACTACTAGCTATTGTTATACGGAGTACATACACTAGCCACGAGTACAGATTACTCTGTTTTTATATTACAACGCAGTTTTATACTTCCTCCGTCCCCAAATTATGTTCCTAGTTTGACTTCACTTGCTTTTAGGCAAGATAATACTTTCCAAATGTCCCCATTAAAGATATGTAGGAAAAACTGAGTAATCTTCAAACATCCCTAAAAGAAAAGTGACAACTTAATAGAGTCTTCTGACAATGTGGGGTAAATGAGTACTTTACTACACAAATATTACCAAAAAGAAAATTATAACATAATTTGTGAATATCCCTAAAAAAGGGAAAACTTAATTTTAGGGGTGGAGGGAATATCAAATACAAATAAATTCTTACATACTTTTCTAAAACAATAATTCCTCCCTACTCTAGAATAGAACATAGCAATATTTCAGCTTTGTAATGCTCCACTTACCCTCCACTCTTTTAAACCAAACACAGGGTTAGCACCAACTACAGAATTGTGAGGTTTAGGCTGGATATATAGATGACGGAAAGAGAGGACTAGTGGAATTTTATATTAGTGCCCCTTAATAAGTATCAAGACAGTAGACCTGGTAGTAATTATACTCGAGTATACAAGGAGATTAAAAATGAAAAGCAGATTAACCTAAGGATCCGAATTAAAAGGAAGGTAGTATAAAAAGCTTTCGAGACTATATAAAGATAGAATATTAATTAGAATTTGAGCATACCTTTACCAACACTACGGCCAAGATTATTATTTTCTTTTAGAGGGTCAACAATGTTAAGGTGCTTTTGCTGAAACCTCCGGGAGCTCATTTCACCAACTTTTGAAGGAACTGAAAACTCACTAACACATTCTCTAATAAAGTCGTTACTCAACAGAAAATCACCACTGTTATTTTGGGGCATCTCAACTGCAAAAAAGGATAAGGTTATAACTTATAAGGTAATCATCATAATGAAACCAAAGGAAGAAAATAAAGCACTGCCCTGAGATGTTACTTACCAACAATTTCAGGTAGAGATGATAGACGAACGGGACCAGCTAAACTGATGCAGTAGTTGTCCCATTCAAAGTTGCTAAAATAATCCAAAAATTTGTACAGAACCTGAATTTTTAGATATCGCAAATTTCAAAAATTGGGTCACGAATGTGGCATATAAAATGGATGTATCCAAGTAGACTCACCGCTAAAGGACCATCTAGCGTAGTGTGAAATAGGTGAAAGATGTATAAAATAAGAATTTCCAAAGCATAAGTTGATATCAGACCATGATGAGCACCAAGTATACGACTTTCATAATAGCACCAGGCTTTTATCAATATAATACTGCGCTTAAATAAATGATCTTTCCCTATAAGTTGATCTACCTGCACACATAAAAAAGCCGATGAAGAAAATGGCAAACTATTAACAGAGATATTCACTGTAAAAACAAGCATAGCTTCATCCCCCAGCCCTCCTCCACCCCACTGTGATAAAAAAGAATACAACAACATCCAAGCCTTAGTACCAAAAGATATTGGGGTCAGCTAACATGAATCGATACATGATATCACCACCAAAAGGAAAAGAAAGGAAATAAAGATAAAAAAGAATGTACAAAAGAAAATGCTAGGAAAAAGAAACAGGAAAGAAACTACAGAAGCAATTTGAAAGGAAAGAAAATGCTGAGGAAAATAAAAGATTGATTCAATGCCAATAAATTTATTTTTAATCTGTTTGAATTCATTGTTATTTATTTACTCGTGTTACAAATACTAATTAATCTAAACAAAATTAAGTAATCTAAACAGATATCGACATTTTTGAACATCAGAAAGCAAATTTCCTTGGTAGTTTATCTTCTTTCCTTTCCCTAACATTTTCCACTGCAAAGCATAGCCTTAGTGGTTTCCATGAAGGAAAAATTCAATATCATGTGACTACAGACTACCTTCTCAAGAAAACACAAGGAACAAAGGCCACCTATTTGATTGAAGGAGATATCAACAACAATATTCTGAATAATACATTTCACAAGTTTGACCTGTCATAGAAAAGACAGGCATCAGGATATACAGCGCATAATATTATTACAAATGTAAAGAATAAACAAGTAAACAATCAAGAAAGTGAAAGTGAGTGAATACATATTTCACCTGTTCAATATTTTTTTATATGCCATTTTGGTTTACAAGAACGTATCTTTCTTTGACTTCAAGAAAACAAATCTCTTCATTCAGATTGATTGTATGGAGGACTTTTTTTAATTTTCGTTTAATTCTCTTTGTTAGCCTTGGGGGCTATAGCCAAGCTATATTTCAAAGGGAACATAGAAAATCAATATAACATACTGTTCGGGTATATAAATTGAAAAAAAAAAATGATTTTCAGCTTTTGGCTTAAAAAAGCTGAAAAGAGTGTTTTCAAGTAATAAATTATGCTTAAACTAAACATTTAAAAGATATAAGCTAGAAACTGCTTTTTACTTTTTCTATTACACAAAAAGCACATATTTTACCAAACACTACCAACTTTTACTTTTCAAAATCAATTTTTTCTCAAACACTACCAACTTTTACTATTAAGCACTTTTTCCAAAATCACTTCAAAAAGTGATTCTTTTTAAAGCAGAAGCAATTGCAAACACTCTCCTAGATTGTTCAAAATAAGGTGAAGATAAAAAAAAAGATAAAAAGAAGTCATGTCAGCCTTGCTTCTCTTACTTTATAATCTAAACCACTTCCTATGTCTTACTTGGCAGAAAGCTTCTTTAACGCAACTTTAAAGAAAATGTCAAATTGACATTTGTTGTGACCAGACCAAGAAAGTGAGATTTAGTATCTGAGTATTTTCATGTAATACATAGACAACGCAAAAATATCATAGCAAACTAGCAACAAATGATAATGGTCCATCATTAAACACTGCAAAGTACACAAGTGAAGGCAACACAAGACCTCGGCACAAATGAGTTGAACATCCTCTATTGTGAACTCCGCATCTTTGTTTCGGTTCTCTTCTTCAAGAATAGATACCATGCTGGCTGCCAATCCATCCTCTGCCACGGACCCACCAAAGGCAGTCAAATCAATGTCACCATCTGGAAGAAAGGTTTTTAGAGGAACGGATCCGTATGAAAATACCTGTTATTCATTTAAAGAACATTTATCCCACACTCTAGGGTCAAATTAAAAATTGAAGCACAATCTGTTCACAAAGTTTACAAAGGTTACTAGGTTCATGCGGAAAAGTCCAAGCTGATATATACTCCCTCCGTCCCATAAAATTCTTCCCACTTTCCTTTTTGGGCCATCCCAAAAAAATCTTCCCACTTACCATTTTTGTACAATTTGTGTGGTTCACATTCATTTCACCTTTTTCTTACACAACCACACATTTCCACTTTATTCCACTTTCTTAATCTCCGTGCAAAGTCAAAGTGGGAAGAATTTTATGGGACGGAGGTAGTATTTAACACTTAGAGGGGTATGATACTATATTGGGTCATATGTATTAGGATCATGCACACACAATTAGCATTGCAAATATGACATAAATGTTATAATCCCATCATAAAATTGTAAACTTGACCAGCTGTAATTATCAATACCAAAAAAATTATCTTTTTCAAAAAGTATCTTTGAATAATATACAAGCTTTAACAAATTTCCAGAACCCTCTCCCAAGTTCTAACACTGACATGTCTATACTGTTAATTATATCTACAAACAGATAGACCGGAAAAGAATAAGTTACACATTTGCTTCTACGAGTATTATACCGATTCCATATTAGGTCCATGTCATTAAAAAAATGTCTACTGTTTCTTGCCCAGCTATGGTCCTGGTAAAAAATTCGACACCTCATGGATGATTGTAAGCACACTAAATTTAGCCGGAAGGATCATAGATGTGCAAAAACAATAATCATGTACCAAAAGTGGACGAAGTCAAAGAGATAGACCTAATGTGGGATTGTTATCATACTCGTAAGACAAAAAGTGGAACTTATTCAACAAAATGGTCAACAAATGGAATGTCAAAATGGTATTTTATGAGAGTAACTGCAAGTATTTGGCTAGTGCGTGAAGTCCGGCTTCAATAGTTCAATTCCACAACAAATGCATGTGATTTGGATTATCTCCATTTGCGTATAAATTTCGACTCAACTATCAAAAGTGTGCAAATATGAAAACCAAATCTTTATGTGTTGGACTTTGAGCCGCACAATGCAAAAAATCTAAAACATATACGATGAATTTAATACCCCCACTATTTATTGTGCGCATCTATGAAAAGAATACAATTTCCAAGATTCTAGAAAAGTTAATATGTGAGTAGTATGATGACTTTGTATCGATCATTGATGATTTTGGATGTTTAAGTGTAGAACGAGAGCAATATCGGAAGAATAATTAATGCTTGCTAAGTTTATTAAAAAAGATTTCACTGACAGATATTTGGGAACGAGAGAGTAACTCAAGAAAATCTGAGCATCAGACAATAAACTCCCATCATGGGCTCACTCAAGTCAAATCATTAAGAAAGCTTAGAAAAAAATGCTTCCCATACATAAAGAATGATTTAACCTAAAAACAATGCTTCCCATAGTATCAAATTGTGCAAAAACAAAAGTGAGAAAAACTTTTAACCGGAAAACAACTTTTTAATTGTTGATATTTTAGTGAAGAAGGTCAATCTCAGAAAGAATACTTATTCCCTTCCTGGCTTCTGGGAAAAGATAACATTTTGGATCAAAATGCTTCTTTATGTCAGAAATTGAGTATCAAGAGGTCAGCATCACTGAAAGAATTTCCATATATGAGTTCGCAGAAATTTCCCCAATATCTTTTGGTACTAAGGCTTGGATGTTGTTGTTGTTCTTGAGTTCACAAAAATTTCCATAAATCATTAATCCTAACCTAACCATTATATGGAAACCACCGCCTAACACCCACAACCTCGGCCAACGTTAGGAATACACTTCCCATGAATACAAAATATAGGCTAACATATGGAAATTTCTGAAAACTAGAACAATCTAAAAACAAAATTCAGCTTTTTGAACTATTCACCTGACCTATATGCAATAAAAAAACTGCCCATTCAAAAACATGAAAAATTGGTATCATGCCCAGTGCAAAAACTACCACACATTGATTTAAAACCAATATAAAATAGAATCCTAAAAAAGTAAAAAGTTAAGTAAATTAAGAAAGACGTGCATGAGAGTTAAACTTAAGTACAACCTCGCAGTGAAGGGAACCCCTGAGCAACCTCTGAAGATAATCAATGAGAGATTTCCTCCGCTTTTCAGACACAGTTGTGGGCTGGACGTTGAAGATAATGTCCTGTGTCAATTTCTCCGCCATGGCCCAACTTTCTGATCCGATAGAAGACAGCGGTGGGTTCGAAGGCGGTGCCGACATCTCCCTCACTGCCGCTCCGTTTGAAGGTACTCCAATATCTGCCATGAAGGACAAATTTAATCCATAGACTGCCACCACAGATAAATGCCAGAAAGAGGCAGACACTCCTTTTCTGCTCTTGCGATTGACGAAAGAAGATTCTGGGGGCAATGGGTTTTCCGCAGGAGAATCCAAATTTTCACGACTGGAATATAAATTATGCGAAAAAAATCTAACGATCTTACCAAGAATTTAATGTATGATAACGCAAAAGCCGAGAATTTGGGTGTTTGTGGGTGACGAAAGAAGGAAACCGGATAACCAAGAATGGGCTTCGGTCGGGCCGTCGTTAATATGTCCCTTTCTTACTATTGGTCCTGATAAATAAATTGGATGGGAGAGCAGTCCCAATCCTGAAGTAGATAGGAATTGTGTATTTCAGGGAAAAACCCTATTTTTATAGTGTTATTTATGGCATCCCGTGCTGATACGTTAGACAAATCGGAGTGGTGAGACGAGTCCAAAATGTTAAAAGTGAAAATTTTGTACTCCTAAATCATTGTACTGATTGACTAAATGGGGGATAAAAATGGAGAAAGGGATTAAGGGATATATATATATATATATATATATATATATATATATATATATATATATATATATATATATATATGTGAAGGGTGTGGAATGAGTGAGGCTAAAAAACGGAAGGGGTGGGGGCGGCACATGTGGTGCACAAGGGGGAAAGGTCGGTGGGCCATGTGTGATATGTGCAGGAATTATTTAGGGGTTGATGTCAGGATGACTTCATGCGGATGTCATAGAGCACTAATTTTTAAAAATATTGATAGATCCAACGGTTGTGATGATTTGGACACTGTTTGAATGGTAAAAAATGATCTAACGGTTGAAATTAAAATCCAACGGTTAAAATAATTTATTTTAGTTTTCCATTATTTTTAATTAATATTTTGTCCGAAAATCCTATATAAACACCTCAATCCTTCATATTTTAATCACACATCTCTTATTTTCTTCACAAAGCTGGTTGCATGCGATAACGGCGTCGGAAGATACGTGCGTTGTATGTGGGATTTGAATTCCATTAATCATCCATCAACAAACGATGTCCAGCTTCTCGACCACGGTCTATGTACTCACGACTATTGAAGCTTGTTGCAACCAAAGAAGCCATCAAAGCCATGCACATGCGGTCGGAGTAGGCTTCTTCATCTTCATCTTCATTGATGGATTTGTAAAATGCGGGAAAAGAACTCATGATTTTATTTGGCCTTCTAGTAGAATACTTGAAAATAGGAGAACTAAAGATGAGGTGTGTGATTCCAATGTCAAGTGAGACCATGTATTTATAGTAATATAGTTCTTTGATGCTCACATCAAGTGGAGGATACATCCAATTTACTCTGTATTATGTTTGGATACACCAAGTGTAGAATAACATCCAATGTACTATGAAAGGACACACATAGTGGAAAAGAGAATTCAATGTCATATAATGTGATATGAATGACACACATAATGGAAAAGAGAATCCAAGGTGATATGAATACACACAACAAGTTGAAAAGGAAATCCAATGTGCTATGGATAGACACCCAAGTTGACAAGAGAATTCAATGCTCCAATGTGTTTGAACTCACTTCATTGAAAAACGTAAAAATTATTAATGAAATTTGTTTTTTTTACATCGAAATGTGCCTTTTTTATTTTATAATTAATCAGAGAAAAAATTAAAAGAAAAACATTACTTATAATAATTTAATTAATGTTTTACTAAATTGATATGTAAAAAAATGTGCAGAGTGTATTTTATTGATGGTACTCGAATACAGAGAAATATGAGTCAAAACACTGTTTTCATATGGACGGAGTCCATTTTTGACATTTAGACTCTCCCACCACTCCAAATGGTCTTAGTCGTTATAATCTCTTCCTCTCTTATAATTTTGTTAATCTTTTCTTTTTAGTGTTATTTGAACTTTATAAAAACAAGTCATTTCTTCATAACTACATAACTATGTCAAAAAATTTACCAAACTAAACTTACATGTATATAGGTGTCGATTGTATTAATAATTACCAGGTAAATACAGCCTAGTGCCATTGAGATGGTGGATAGATTGACTGCGTAGATTGATACGAATTGGCCAATACAATGACAAACCTAAATTTTAGACAAACAACAATAAAACACCATCATTTTTTCCACTAACTATAAGAGTGAATCAATTGGACCATTTAGAACACTGTTTTGCGTTTAAAAAGCCACCATTGGCGTAACACCGCCGCTTCTCCACCAAGATTTCAAAGATTTTTAGATGATGTGCTCAAATATAATTCACACCACTAACCTGTCAAAATTAGTCCACCACACATTGAGCCCATTCATTTTATTGCTTTTCAAAAATGTCTTTGAAATAAATTTTCTAACACAATGAGATGGTTACTTTACAGATAAACCCAAGAACTTGTTAAATTGGAAAAAATTAAAAATCCATTTGTGATGTGTCTTCCTCTTTCTATATATGTGAAAACCATATGGCTCATGCTTAGACATAACATTTTAAAATTAACATTTGTTGCAACAATATCAAATTTAATTATTAGGCTTTTTTTTAAAAAAAATAATAATAAGTGATTTTTTAAATTCAATAGTAATTTCACAAACTCTGCAACTATGAGGGCTTTGTGATAAAAAAATTCTTTAAGTTCATTTAATGTAAAAATTTAAAGAATGATATTACACATTCTTTAAGTTCATTCAAGCGAAATAAATGATTTTGCATTTTTAAAAGATTTCTTTAAGAAGTTATTCTACTACAATTTGGGGCAGGATCACAACATTTTGACTAAATAAGTTACACTACATTACATAGTTGATGACATTTATTAGATAATTTTTTGTATTATTAGGAAAATTATATTACTCCCTCCGGTCCTTAATGAAGTTTACACTTTGACTTCACACATATTAAGGAAATAATTATAAATTTAACTTTACTGTAGAGTACACTGTTTGACACTGTTTGGCACTGTTTGGTGTAGATTTGTTTGTCAAATAAGGTAAATAAGGAAGTGTAAAGTTTAATATGGGACGGCCCAAAAAGGAAAGTGTAAAGTTATTTAAGGACCGGTGGGAGTATAAGACATGCCAAAGTGGAAATAATTGCCCTAGATCGACATGCCACAAATGTTTGTATTATTATAAAAACTATTATAAGAACTGCCAAAGTGAAACTAATTGCCCCAAACATGCCAGGAAATCGGGGGGTGATATTTGGTATATTATCCGGAAAAAAATTGCATTTTCTTTTTGCAGAGGTATGGTTTCTGCCCAAAATTTATTCTGATTTGACTTAAATTCTCATCGGAATTTTTATTAGTTCTTCATTATTCATAAATTTGCAGCTCACACATATTTTTATTTTTGACAATTTCTAACGCAGATTATTATGTTGAAACGTACAGAGATTTGTGCGATGCTAATAGGGATTTGACGAATGCCAATTATACATTTGTATTATTTTTAATTTTAATTTCAATATGTAAATCCTGTAATAATTAGATATAGGGTAGATTTAGGACACGCCAAGCTCTGGGCCAGACTCTAGGTACGTTTCTCTACGCATTGCTTACGTTTGAATTTCTTTCTATGCCTTTACACTCGATGTATGGTTTTGAGACATCTAACTTAAAACGTACAAAATAAACAACAATTTTCCAAGTAAACCATTTACCTAAAATTATACTTCATTTTATACGAAAATCCGAAAACATATTTCTAAACAGACTATTTTCCTTGACATATCAAAACATGTAAAAGCTCATACTCCAATTTCATTACCCGTCCATGGATTTGTAAATACTCGTAACATTTACAGGTTTTGAATTATCCATTTTCATTAGTGAACTTCAGCTTTTTCCTAACACCCTATCATGTAAGTTTTCCGATATGCAGGGTCTTGCTTCCATTGGATTTATTTTCATTACTGAACTTCATGAAATCCTTTACCAAATCCCACTTATGTAAATGTTCCATGTTAACTTAAAATTTTAGTTTTTCATTAGTGAACTTCACCTGATCCTTGGCTGAACCCAAATATGTAATCTTTTATACCCTGCACAGGTTCTTACTTCCATTGTATTTATACATGGAAGCAAGAAAATACCCGGGTAGAGTAGTAACTATTCAGTGTTAACTGAATATTGTACATGATAGAAATGACCTAAACTACCAAAAAAAAATTAAAGTACACAAATAGCAGGCTCCGAACCATAAGACTAAATCAACAACAAATTTTGAAAGCCATTCGTTGAACATAAAGGTTCGTTTTTTAATTAAAAACAAAATAAATCTTTATGTTATATGTTTGGTTTCTAATCTACTTCAAGGTTTTCATACAGTAATATTTGTTTAGATAACAAAGGAATGAGAATTGGGGCATGTTTAAGTGATTTGGGTGGAGGTGTGGATACTGGAGGTGTGATAAAGAGGTGTGGAATCTGCTCTTTCCTGGGTCACCAGGACATCATGTATACGACTAAAATGTGTGCGTGTAATGTTTGGTATTGTGGTTGGTGTAATGCTGAATTTAAGCTTGATTTTCTCCGCCAAGGACCCCCACTGACACTGCTCTCACCAACAGTTCTGTCACGTGTGTTTGGAGCTCATGATATCATATGGTTCTACGGATCTGTTGGAGAGAGTTCGGGGATGACCATGGGTGGGGTGAGGAACAAGGTGGTCTTAAGGCGTTCTACACGTACTATATATTTGAACAAGTGGTATTTTGGAGGGGAATTTGTTGTTGACTTTGATTTCGATTGGCTCACTAAATCTGTATGGTCTACTGTAATAGGAAGTTTGTGTGGATGATGGCACCTAAAGTATGCAAGCCTTACTAAGGTTGCCTCTACTCATGTGCTCCACCTATGTATTTTGCCCATCAGTGTTAAATATTATGACATTTTGAAAATATTTTGTAGTTCTTTCTACTCAAGTATTTTGTCTGATACACCTGAATTCACACTAATGAGACTATTCTTAGGTAAATGATGTTGGTTTCAGGTCTATATTTATGGTTAAGATAACTAAATCATGTGTGGTAGGATCCAAAAAATTCAACCCAGGTAAATTCTTTCAACAAATAATACATTTTACACTTCAGCTTATTGATTTTAGGCATTGGTTCCAGAATGCTATTATTTCGTGCTCATTTGAAAAAATTTGATGTTCAAATGTTGTTCTTTAATGTGTCTAAGGAAATATATTTATTTATTAATTTTGTCATGTAGGACATCTAGAATATAATAATAAATATTCAAAGATCATTGTAGAAATACAGTATTACCCTTTCTTTTCCATGGTCATGCACGACATTTTTCGCATCCATCTTCA